CAATCCAGCGTGCTGGTCCGCTGTCTCCTTCTCGCCACTTCCAGCAAAGCCCTGCGAAGGAGAGCTGGCCAGGCAGAGGGCACATCAGGAAAGACAGGCCGCTTCGCTTAGGACAGCGGTTCTCAACCTCTGGGTCGCGACCCTTTTGGCGGTCGAACGACCCTTTCACAGGGGTCACCTAAGACCATCCTGCATATCAGATATTTACATTACGATTCATAACAGTAGCAACATTACAGTTATGAAGTAGCAACGAAAATAATTTTATGGTTAGGTCACAACATGAGGAACTGTATTTAAAGGGCCAGAAGGTTGAGAACCACTGGCTTAGGAGATGCGCTCTGCCTTGAAGCCTGCAGTCTAAGTTGATTGAGAATCAACTATAATATGAAACTGTGCTGGCTCTTCATAGTGGGTACCAAACCAACACCATCTCAGGATATAAGGCTGCTGCCACCACAGTGAAGATGAAGGGTGCTGTCTTACATGGTGTGTACTGCCTGCATCTGAACGTATTTATGTTAGAGATTGAACGCATGTCTTTAAGCTTCTGAGATTTTGCCTTCTCTGTTTATATAGTGGAACTTAATCTTATTGATACTTCAGTAGTCTGGGGGCCGAATATGGGCGTTTTCTCTTGTCGTGCTGAGGACTTAGGTACATTATTGTCCTCTGGGCAGGGCCAGTCCTGACAAGACCATGGTTTAGGGAGGTAAGGAGCGGGCAACCTCAGCGATGCTATAGGCTGGAGGGTATGGGCAAGGCCTGCCATTTCATGTCTTCCTGCACCTTGGCTTGTAAGGTTCCTGGCATCGACCATTACACTTTTATTCCTTTCATTCTGAAGGCCTTTCCAATGTTGAAAGTCTCTTCTTAATGACTTTCAAATACTCAGAGTAGGGACAGACACACAAGAATGCCACAGCCCCTGGCAGTTGCCAAAGACCCTGCCCTGTGGGCCCAGCTCTGGAGGAGACAAAGATGCTGGGAGCAGGAAGGGCACCCCCAGGGATGGAGAGGGTGTCACAGGGAAATGTGGCCACGATCACAATTCTGCTCAAGGCCAGTGCCGCCATCGCAGGCGGCACTGGGACCTGGTTTTCGGTGAAACCCATTCTCTAGGCTGAACCTGCGCTGCACCCGGGAAGTGGAATTGGATCCATGTAGACAGCCGATCTGGACCTCGTGGGCCTGGATTATTTGTTTGGCTGTCTCCACTGATCAAATTAACGGGATAATTGCCAAATCTCTTCTCAGGTGTGCTCCCCGAGGCAGCTGGTGCGGCCAGCAGGAGGGGTGAGCCTCCAGGGACAAGCCAGATTAGAGACTTAGCACATGCTTGCTACCTGGTCAGCCCAGGGAGCCAGCCATTTAATCAGGGCTGAGAAGGGAGGGCCTGGGTGGGGGAAGTGGGTGATAGATGGGCCTCAGCTCCTGGCTTCATGAAGATCTAACAGTGATGCAGCTTGCGCTGCCCCAGGCAACCCTCCAGACCAGCAGATAAGATGGTGCCTGATTACCACATAGTCTTATCTCAAAGCAGTTGTTGTCTGGGGAGGTGAGTTTCTTAAACTCCAGGGCCAAGAAAAGCTTAAAAGAGGCTGTGAAATAGACAGGGAACGAAGTCTTTCTCTTATCCCTTCTCAGGATGGTTGGGATCCCCAGCACCAGCATGCTCTGGACCTCAACTTTGCGTGCCTTGTCTTCTCAACCAGGATACGTTTTCTTTAAGAGTGTGGTTCTTAGCACCTCGTAGAGTGTCCAGCACATGATCAGTGCTCAGAGAGCTGTTGGTCTGTCACGTAATGCCATAAGATTTATTGAGCACTTCTTATGTGCTTGTGCACTTTGAGGAGAACAAAGATGGCCAAAGTTAATTTATGAGGAGCCCCCCTGGTTTCAGGGGGTGACAGTGTAGTGATCATTTGGGGTATAGAATGCATTGGACGCCAACACACTCTCACTGAGCCGGAGCCCTGTGAGGGCTGAGGAAACAAGGGAGGTGGTGTTATTAGCCCCATTCAACAGAGGACAAAACTGAGGTTCGGAGAGATAAATGACGTGCTCAAGATTATGCACTAGCAAGAGCCAGAGCTGGATTGAAGCTCTGGTTTGCTGACTCCCCTTGCATCTCTAGACTGGCCCCCTTTTAATGGATTGCATCTTAGTCTTAAGGGGGTGGGGGCAGGGGCATAGAGTACCTGGGTGAGGCAGAGATCTCAAACTTGTGCCCTGTAGCCCCTGGCAGCCTGCAGATGGGTTTGTTAGCTTCAGACAACGTTGTTCTTTTAAACCAAACCAATATTTAAAAATCAGGATATTTCAGATAAAGATTCAGATCTCAGGGTTCGCTTTTAAAAATGAGAATCCTGACATAATACTCCTGCATAACCACGGTTTGCCAGTGCCCAGCGGTGACTGCTTGCCCTGAAGTGGGACACAATTTTCCATTAGCTGTGCCTTAC